TATTTGTGGTTCTCAATTTTTGCGAATATTTCTCGACGATTTGATGACAATGGAGATGAATGAATAAATTGTTTTCAGCTGTTAATGCATTTTCATGTTCTAAAAATTCATAATTCAATTGCAGGCATTCAAGGCGGACGTCTGGGCTCTCATTATGGGATCAATCTTAGTCATGCCAATTATTTTGACTCTCATTAAATACACGCAGAGGAGGAAACATGCGCTTGCAATGATAATCGAGCATTATTCGTACGTTTGGGGGATTTATTGCCAGCAAGGATTGTCAGGTACACAAAAACACTGAAAAAACTAGAGATTCGATAAAAATTACTCTAACATTATATAACCGTCTAGTCTACCGACAATTCACAAAAAAGAAACAACTCCTCAATTATAATCTGCAATTTTTAATTCAATAACAAATGGATAAACTGAAAAATACTTACGGTTTTTTTCAAGCCCAGTTTTTGGATGATATCTCGCCATTGATGAGAGATAGCGATATTTCTATATGAATATTTTTTATAGCGGAAGATGAAAGCTACAAAAAAGGTTCCTATGACAATATCTGTAATTTCATTCAATTTCGCGGTATTCTCTAAAAACTGATGTAATAAAAACTGAGTTGGCGAAAGGAAAAGTTTCTGTTTTCCACAGGTTTTTATTTTGGTAGGGGATTTCATTTTTTTTTAGACTGTGGGTGAGAATTAACTAATGGATATTTGAATGATTGTTTTTTAATAGAATTTCCTAATGAGACGCCCTTGAGAATTTTGTACATGTCAATATTCATAACTGCGTTGGTAGTGTCAGCTGCATATTCTGCGTCACTGACGAGTTTCCTCACGGTTTCTTCCGTTTATTTGCCATTCAATTCGATGGAAGAATTTGCTAATGACGGTCGTTATCAATTAATAGTGTTCCAGGATAGCGCCGAGTACGAGATGTTCAAGGTAAACACGTAAATTCAGTTTTGTCTGTCGAATGCAATTAATTATATTTTCAAATGAAAACCAGTCGTGAATCTTATTCGAGTCACATTTATGAGTCTCGATATTATTTTAAGGCGTCCAATGATTCGATCATGAGGAAAATGATGGCCTTAATGAGACCTAGCCATACACTACCTCAAACCCTTCTTGGAGGACTTCAACAGGTGAATTATTACGGGAAAGCCCTCAATCCTGACGATTTGCAATTTTACTGAATTTTCAGTGATACCGGGTATTTCGTAATTTTTTTACTTCCAATTATCGGTCGTTAAAATTGATGAGATCATCCATTTTCTGAAAAAAAAATGAGTATTTTAATGAATAATGAAAATAAGTGCAAATAAAAAGATCAATTAATAAAATAATTTATGAAGACTCTCAAAGTTAGTCATCATAAATTTATCAAACATGAAGAACAATTAAAGTTGAATGATGTTAATCGAAAAATCGATTCAGAAGCGAAAGGGGGGGAAGTATTTATAACATGAACGAAATAATTTGAATTTTGAATGAAAATAATTGCAGGTGTGCACCAAAAAAGTGGCATTTTACACAAACGAAGCGCAAAAGCGTTCACTCAGCAGGAAATTGCCTTGCGACATCGTCTCCGTGAGAACAGGAAGAATCGATACCCTAGGGATGATAATGTCCCCTCGCAGTGAATACATAGGACTCGTTAATTACCAGTGAGTTAAACGCGAGATTGAAGACGAATAATTATTCACTGAATTGGAATTTATTAAAGCATTCAGCGATTCAAAGACAATGGAATGCTGAGTCGACTGAAGCAGAAGTACGTTCTCGAGGAAGAGTCCAGTGATGGTTCCTTAGCCCCCGTTGGGATTGGAGGGATAGCTCCAATTTTCTTTCTCTTGACCGTAGGAATTTTCATCGCCTTCTGCTTATTCATCATCGAATGCATCTTTCCACCGCTCACCAGTAAATTTTGCAAGCGAAACAAAGAGAACAATCAATTATCCAGACATCCAATTCATCCTGGAAAGAAATAAATATATTTACATCTTCATGTTGACCTTGTTTGTATTTTTATAAACCTTCATGTCCCAGATTATTTAAATAATTACCAGAATTATGCAATAACATAATGAACGACTTTTGAATGAACTGAAAAATTCTGGAATTCTTATAATTTCTCATAATATGGAAGAAATATAATTGTTTGTTATAGTTTATATCAATATTTATGTTTGTTGTTATAATTTATGAAAAAAACTATAATTATTATTTTTTTTGTCTTCAAACTCAAAAATTTCGCCACTTTAACAAAAATGTAAATTTAGTATAAATCTCTTAATTTTTTCTCAATCGCACAATCATGAGAGCGACATCGATAAAAATTCAGTTAAATTCATTAGAATTCGAATTATAATGTAGGCTGGAATATTGATTATAATAATTAAATGATGAATCTATAATGAGTATTCCCCCCGATGAAATATTGAATGGAGTAATTACTGAAGAGCGGCTGAGGCGATTTATCTCGGATTTTTCAGGCTCGGCTGAGAGACGAGGAATTTTAATGATGGACACACCTTTCTCTGAGGAAAGCCACATCATCATCCTGTCCAACAGCTCGAGCATTCAATTGTCCTGGAGAAATGGTCAAACAGCGGTAGAGGGTCTTCTCCAGAGTCATTGGGAAATCATTCCAAAGACTGCAATAAATCGAATCCACAGAATTTATGCAAAAAGTCTATAACTGTTATTCTTCAATTGTTGAAATTTGAATTGACAATATAATTATAAAAAATAAATTAAAATTCCTGAGATAGACCTCTGAAAATTTTTCATAAAAGATTTTTCACCAAGAAATGAACAATTCAGAAAGATCCAATTATAAAATAATTTCGATGACACCGATAAATCGAGTTCACAAAATTTAAAGAAAAAGGGCTATAATTTCTATTTTTTAATTTTATTGTTTCGGAAATTGCACAATTGTTCAAATTTAAATTTCCAATTAAATTATCAAAAAGAGATAAAGATCTAGCAAATAAAATTCTGGAAATGTTCTATAAAGTTTTTTTTTGGAAAAAATAAAAAATTCATGTGGAGAATCGAATAATCCTGGATAAATGATGAATGAGCGGTGAAAGCTCTTCCCCAGAGTGATTGGTAAATAATTCTGAGGACATGTATAAAATGGTATTAGAATTGATCTCGACGGAGGTGTGGGTTTTAGACAGGTTTAGAGATCATCAAGGTCGACTGCTTGCAGATTGCAGCAAAAAAGAAGAGGGGAAAAAGGTGAGTTTGGAGTGGCTATTATCGATACCATAAATGGCCCGATGCTTACTTGCACGTGTTACCGTGATAACATGTGTTTGGGGTGAATATATATTCACTGGAGATGTTACGAGGAGAGATTTTTAATGAGACTCTTAGTACTCGGAGGTCGTTTCCGCTTTCAACGGAAGTTGAAACCAAGCGTGCGCAATCATATCCGTTATTAGGGTGCAGTGAACCTCTCCAAAAGTTATGACTCTTGAGATTCAGTCAAAACAAATAAATTATCTGATGATCAAAGCAATCCCTGACAATTTTTTTAAGTAACTATCCTCTCAATATTTTAGTTAAATTTCAAAATAACTAGTGGAGTGTAAAACTGACGTGTAAAAGAACAGGATATGCATTATTATTTAATTATTATTTTAAGAAATTATTCGAATAAACAATGGAAATAGTTGAATTATTTATTCCGACGAATAGCGGTTTCATTTCATTGTCAGGAATAATTACAATTCAAATGTTAATTGTTTAATTTAATATTGTGCCATAATTTCATGTTTATACGAATTTAATTGTTCCCAATAGCATTCGAATTTTCGTTGTCGCGGCAAATTTGAAGTTTTTACTTGGAATTTTAACAATAGGAAGCGTTAATTGAAAAATTTAATGATCCGTCAAAACAATAAGGGAAAGTGTTGTCTCCACCCATTCTAAATTAATATAAAAAATACTATTGTCAGCTCGAATTACGTAGGATGGGTAAATGTAATACAACGTATTTTTTTGGAGTAATAGTAATTATAATTTTATGTGAATTAATCGATAATTGATGTTGACACAAAAATTTCGATGTAAGATGTATAAATTTCCTTCTGCCAGGTAAATTTCCCCGGTTTCAATTATTCCTTAAATCATGGAAATAATTGAACTTAATCCTCCAGGACTCAAACTCCTATTTACCAGGAGCAATTTATTTTTCTGTACAATCTCTATTTGAAATCCATAGATTCACTCCTACTCCGTAAATTTCCTCAACATCAATATAACCTGTAATTGTCGGAGTAATTGTTTTTTTCAGAGTGTACACCTGTGGAATGACATCTAAGCCAATGAAAGAGGAGGTGTACTGAGTAGGCAGATATCCTGTATGTACCGTACATACCGCATTACTTCACGCGTTGGTATTTCTCTAGCTCATTACATTGCGTTACGGTGTACCTCAGGAGTCAGTAGACATCGTGCCAGCACTCGAACAACATCTCGATAACGGAAAAAATTATTCATCAGCCCCATCCACATCTCCATAAAATCCAGTGATTATCGGTGATCCTTAAAAACATTAAAAAACACAATTTGAATGATGATAAATCAATTAATGAAAATCTATCAGCAAAATTACCGATAATTACCGATGATTAATAAATAATTACTAAGAAATTGGGGTATAATATGTGGAATGTAATGCCGGTGAATTTTTAGATGGCAGTTTAAATCTACAGCGTGTCCTTGGGGTTCTCGTTTTTGGGGAGATTTTGTCATTTTTGTGACTTCCTGTCATATCTAGTTTCAACGGTGAGTGTCAAATTGCGTTAATATGTCGAACCTTTTCACTTCTGTCGCAATGTCCACCGTCCCACGCACTTTTTTTTCTTCATTGTTTTTTAAATAAATAATCCCACATTTTCCGGTTGAATGTTTGAGAATTTATTGGATTATGGAGTTGAAATGGTGGAGTTTTTCCATTTTCATTTTCAAGCTGACGATGAGGAAGAGAGAGATTAAATATTTGTGTTGACAGATTAATTTATTGGCATATTCATTTTCGGGGGATGTTATCTGGGTGATTTTTTTAGGGGAATGACTTCTGGAAATTTTCTGGGGGATGATTCAATCGATTATGATTTGGTAATTTTGAAAGTTA